ACAGGCACCGAGGCAATCTGCTGGAAGGCTTTTGCGGATGCCCTCGAGGTGATTCCCACCACACTGGCCGAGAACGCCGGTCTCAACAGTATCAAGGTGGTGACGGAGCTACGACACCGACACGAGATGGGCGAGAAGAATGCAGGAGTCAGTATCAAGTCCGGAGGAGTCAACACCAATATTTCCAAGGAGAATGTGTTGCAGCCTCTTCTTGTTAGCACAAGCGCGATCGAGCTGGCGGCTGAGACAGTCAAGATGATTCTGAGGATAGATGACATTGCTTTGACCCGTTAGAGTGAGATATCCCCCCCTGCAGCATCTGCCTTGGGTTGTATGAAAATACCAAAAATGGGTTCTGGATCTGCCAAAAGCATTGCATTTTATAGAACATGGTGAATCCTATAATTTATGCGTGGTGATTGATTGAGTTCCTCTATTGTGTTGTATATGTACTCGTCAGTGATTAATGCTGGAATCCCACCCACCTCAGGGGTGGAAGGCCAGTCCGCTCCTTCCATCTGCAACCTTTCGTACAAAGTTAACTCAAGGTACCTGAGGCACCATGAAAGGGTTGCTCATACAATACTCCGACAATTCCTCCCAGTCCAACCAAAGAATTTCAGCTTTACGATATTGGTTTGTGCATTTACTTAGCTGCGATCCCTCTCAACAATGGCTGCGAGTGATGAGTCAAATTATTCTAGTAATGAGGACAACAATCCCAATTTTGCTGCAAAGACCCAGGGGCGCCTTTTGCAGGTAAGATTTACGACGTTCTGACCCATAACCGGAATTTCTCTTACTCTTTCGCTGGCAGTTGAAGAAGGGGCGAGATGAGCGCATGAATGCTATTGTCCAGGAGTCAGCTACAGAGACGGACAAGTTACGCACCAGCATCGCCAGGTTTCAACAAGATCGACGAACAAAAGAGTATGCAGCTCAACAGAGCCTCAAATGATTTCAGGGATATAACTGACAATTGATAGAGTCCGCGCCGTTGCCATTTCTGTGAGCAGGGTTATTGAAGCAGTAGAGCGCAGGAAAGGCATTGAGCAGCAGATGGAAACACTCGTTTCTCGTTTAATCAACAAGACCCAGGAGGTTGAAAGCATGATGAAAATAGGCCTTCGAGGAAGGGAAGACGATATGAAGAAGGCCAAATAACCGGAATTCACGGCCATGTTTTCTTGTTAGGACATTTCAGTCTTGGGCGTTATGAGACAGGCCAGTGGGAATGAACCTGCGCAAGAACCTATGATGGACACTCACAATCAACGAAACTCGAAACTTTGATGAGTTCTTTGCGCTGCTCACATTGACGCGGAGACCATCGAGGACAAGTCTTTGCGAGCGTGCATTGCTTACCAGTTAAGAGGACATATCACGCCACTGCTGACCATCAATGTTTACCATATTCTCCAGAGGGGAACATGCATGGATTGCCCTTTATTCTACATTTATCGATCTGTTATACACGGGCATATTCTATGGCCGAAGTCATTCCATCGTGTGAATCTGTGAATCTTTTACACCTGGTACCCAAATCCCGACATGCATGATCGGTACTGGTCGATTAGGGATTTGCAGTCTGCGGCAGGATCTTTTGCGTTGGAGAAGAGCATACACTCATCACGCTTGGCCTTCTCGTCCTTGCACACACAGCAGGGCTTCAAGGGGTGTTAGAATAGTAATTGAGAGCCGTTGTTGATCCAAGAGAAGCTCACCTTGGGCTTGCTAGCAACTGTGGTGGAAGGGGACGCAACATTTGCGGCGGCGCTCACGGGCGAAGCTATAGAGCCATGTTAGTGTGAATTTAGGAGCAATTGAGTGTTTTGAAGGCTTGAACATACAGATTGTTGTTTGAGCTGCGTCCATCGTGTCTGGGTGATTTTAATTCGTAGTTGTGAATTATCAAGTCAAGAAAATAGATCGTCGGCTAAGTTGACCTGGATTCGGTCATTCGTTTCCAATGGCGAAATGCGCCAGGGGAGTCAGATTTCTAAGCTCTGTCTAGGCCGCTGACCAATCATTTCTTCCGGCTCACGTGGAGTCGCGAGGACTTCGCGCTTCTCATCTGACGTCATTTATTTGCAATCACGCAAGTATTGCAGTCAGGTAGAGGCCTCCATTGCTATGAGTGTTCTGAATTAGACTTGGGTACAAGAATATCCAGCTCCATATCGCAGTTCTAGCTCATCAGTCTTGACGTTTACGAAATTACCGATCTGGGAAACAGGTCCCTGTCATTTGGAGCCGGTGTCTTCCGGGGACTGGCATCGCGGGTGGACCCGCGATGCCGGGCCTCACGGATTTACGCCGGCGACAAGGGCAGATTCTCACCCGCCTGGTGACATATTCTGCGACTTGAGTGATGAAGTTGTAGCCGTATCCAATCATTTAACTGACCCTTTCCGCTGTTGGCTTACATAGTACTACGGGCTCGTCGATTCATTGGACCCTATGCTTTGTTCGAGCCCCTAAATTGAGTCACCGCAAGTTTCATTGAGTCTGGGCTGTCAATCGCTTTGTCTCGATGTGAATGTTGAGAAATACCGAGCCTTCCTCTCAACAGATCATCAGCTGGAGTTCTAGCTATAAAGCCAGAGGCTTCCGGACTCAGAGATATAAAAATACGGTAATCATTCTTTCGATTCAGCAACCTAGGTAACCATGCTTAACATTGAGGAAATCCGTGCTCTCGGAAATGTCCATCCAGAGTTTGAGCCTGTAAGTTGTCGAATACTCTTAGGCATCACAAGTTGTTAACAACCTTCAGATCATCAGGGCCCATAACCCAATGCTTAAAGGATGGGATATGAGCACTGACCTAGAATCTTTTCGCGAAATGATGGCTCAAGTGAAGCAGTATCGACCCAAACCTGACCCGGCCGCACTTTCATATCACACCAAGGACTTCAAGATTTCTCTGAGAGACGGATTTGAAGTTGACGCCAGATCATATGTGCCCAATGGTGACATGTCGCCTGACGGACGTCCTGGGCTTGTTGTCTTTCACGGTGGAGGCTTTCTCACAGGTGATCTTGACACTGAAGCAGGACTATGCGCCGATTTCACAAAGCTTGGAGGCATTGCTGTGAATATCGATTACCGCCATGCTCCTGAACATGTGTTCCCCCAAGCTATCAATGACGCCTTTGATGCTACTGTTTGGGTGAGTGAACCTTGACTCAAGAGACGAATGTGACAATGCTGAAACCAGACAGGTATCTCAAAATGTGGACAAGCTTGGAATCAACCCGTCCAAAGGCTTCATCATTGGTGGTACCAGCTCAGGCGCCGATATCTCTCTTACCATCTCCCATCTATACAGAGACGCCGAGCCCTTGCACCCTCTTACGGGTGTTTATGCTCCAATCACTTCTGGTGTGAATGATCAGACTGTCCCTGAAAAGTACAAGGAGTACTTCATCAGCTATGAGCAAAATGCCAATGTCCCCGTGTTTAGCGCAGAGTCGATGAAATTCGTTCACTGTATGCCTGGAATCCTCCCGTGCCCAGGCTGTGCTGACAAGTTTGACAGCAAAGTACAGACCTGACCCAAAGAGCCCTCTTGCTTTTGCGGTTGCATTCCCCAGTCATGCAGGCCTTCCCAAGACTTACTTTCAGGCCTGTGGGATGGACCCTGTCAGAGACTGCAGCATTGTGCTTGAACAGATATACAAGGACGAGGGAGTGCCCACAAAGATTGACATCTACCCGGGCCTTCCCCATGCGTTCTGGGCTATATTTCCAGAACTTGAGATATCGCAGAAGCGAGAGCGGGATGCCGTCGAGGGTCTAAAGTGGTTGCTGGCTGGGTGAAGGCCCTAGGCAACGTCTATGCCAATGGACGCTTTGTTATTATTTCGTTTCAATGAGTCAGACAAGCATATTGAGATGTCGAACCAGCACTGGTAGTCGTGTGCTTCCACGCGTGCGAAATGATTGGGGGTACAGGTGACGTAGACCAGCCGTGTAAGTGGGCAAACTCAAGCAGCTGTGGCCAAAAACTACGAGTCTTTTTTGAGATCTTGGGGTGAACCGCAAAATAAAGGGAAGGGCATTTGAAACCTTCTACTAATTTAAATATCTGCAAAATTGAATATGAAGAAAAAATCTCCAGGGAACACTGTCTGAGAACAGTGTGTTGAGACTGAATCGCAGGTTCATCTATGCTTTGAAGGAAGACTATCTCTCACGCAGCGCGCCTGAGAAAGCAAGTGTTGGCAAGCAAATCTTGCCAATGTCAAGCTTAATCTCAGAGCCCAGTAGAAATTAATTAGAGGCCACGCGGCTGCTGGCAGACTGAGGTGATTGATCTAATCTGATGTGGCGATGATGTGTACTATTGCTGAATGACTCAGCAGTCGACTGAAATTAAGGTAGTTAGAGAGTAATTAGTTCTTTGAGCTGCTTTTGCCTTCGAATAAGCTCGGATGGTCTTGTCTGCCGTCTGCCTGCAAAGTCGCCGCCATTCGCACAATACGATAGTGCGAAAAACACAAGCCGGTGCCGAGTGAACGGACTCGGAGTGTGGCCCAATTTATTCGCCCCCCGATGTTTTATTGGTCTCGGGACCGATCATGCTCCCTCACGCAACCTTGAGTCCTCTGGAGGCGATTTCAAGTGTGCGAGTGGCCGCGCGGCGACAAGAATGTCCCGAATCAAACGCATTTGCCTTCTCTGCTGATCCAAATGGTTCGACCAAATTCATGTAAGTCTGATACGTGTGTCAATTGTGCCTAGTCAAGGTTACGATGCGGGTTACGCATGTGTCTAGATCTCGCCTCCTAGCGGATGAGATGCCCCATCTGGCAGCCCGTCTCAATGGAGAATTTTTTTTATTATATAAATCGTATGCTATGTCGACATGGTACGATAATCACCACCAGCTTCCTCTACATCATCTATCTACATTTATAAACAAACACTCTTGACCTCTAGTCATTATCATCACTACTCCAAACCATCCAATACTTGATAAGTATCCATTACGCAAAATGAGTCGACAATCAAACCCATTCAACAATGCAAACTTCTGGGATTTTGTTCAGCACTTTGACCCCAACCAAGCAACTGGCCGCGGAGTAGATCACCAGACTGAGACTCCATTTCCCTCTTTCATGGCCGGTTTCCCCTTTGGTTCGCCAGCTGGCCCTCATCCTCCTCACCCTCCTCATCCCCATGGGCATGGACATGGTCCACGAGGACCTCCTCCACCCCCTGAGGCTGACGGCTTCGTCTGGGGTCCTTGGTTCTCCGGTGAAGGTGCTCCCAACAGTCGAACCCATAATGAGCAACGCCAGGAGGCAAACGAGACCCAGCAAGCTACCGGAAGTGAGAGCCACGAGTCTGACGAGACCATGAATGTCCCTGACCCCGAAGAAGTTGCCCCTGAGGAGAATCAGTGCGGAGCTCGGCCTGAGTGGGCTGGGCGAGGTCGTGGCCGTGGCCGTGGAGGCCCTCGATGCGGTCGAGGTCGAGGCCGCGGTGCTTTCCCCCATGGTCCTCACCATGGCCCTCATCACGGCCCTCATCCTCCCCCTCCTCCTCCCTACGGTGGCCCCTTTGACCTTTCTGGCCTCTTCCGCGGATGGGGCAACCATCCTTTCGTTCGCAACATGCGCGAGCAGTTCCAAGAGAACCAGAACAGGAGCCAGGAGCAAAACACCAACGACTCATCCGACTCCTCCTTCAACCCACCTATCGACATCTTCAACACCGAGAAGTCATATGTCATTCACGTCGCCCTCCCTGGCGCAAAGAAGGAGGATATTGGCCTGAACTGGGATGCTGACCGCAACCTTCTCAAGATCGCAGGCGTCGTCCACCGCCCTGGCGATGAGGCCTTCCTCAGCACTCTCAGCTCTGGCGAGCGCAAGGTTGGCATGTTTGAACGCAACGTAGCTCTGCCGCCCTCGGGAGCAGATGAGCGCGACGAGGTTGACGGTCTGGGCATCACCGCCAAGATGGAGGACGGTGTCTTGGCCATTACCGTGCCCAAGGCTGAGAAAGAGTGGACTGAGATCCACAAGATTGATATCGAGTAGGGATTGGAAAGGTTGGAAATGATATGTTATGATATCCACACTTGCAATGGAGTTTGATAGCTGCTATGGCTTTTGGTCAGTTTCACGATTACCTCGTTTAGCTTCTGGTTTTTAGTTTGGGCTCTGTTGTCGCGAATACCTTGAGTGCCTGAATACGATATCTATATCCTTATTTAGCAGTGGCGGAAAGAGAAAAGAACAAACCAAAAAAAAGGGGGAAGAGAAGGGGTAGGAAGAAAAAAAAAATACATACATCTATTAATCATTAAAATCTTTATTTGCAGACGTGACTAGTTCCTTTGAGACCTTTCTGATCCAAATTTACATGTCAGAGTAAGGTAGAGAACCAAGGTGATAGGTATAGTTTATTTACTTAATTTATTCAGTCTAACAGCTTAAAGCTGAACATGTCTTCATCCGCGTTAAGGCCTATGCAATGGGTATATGCTAGAATGTAGTGGGAGTTCTCTCTCAGAAGAAAAAGTCTTTGCCGGTCTCTCCAAGCCGGTCGTGTTTAAGAAGGTGAATATAAAAATAACGTGCTTCAAAGTGCTTTCATCATGTCGATGAAACAAAAGAGGTCGATGTGCTCCTTGCACAGTATGCAATTTCAGATGATCTTTCCAGTGTAAAAGAAAGTAGAAAGTGAAGGAATAACAAAGAAAACAAAAGTGAAAACCAGCAAAGTGAACTCCTATGTAGTCCTCAACGTCCAATCATTAGGGTATTAGTGAATCGAGCTGGGCATGTCCCTCGTCACTTCAGAAACAAAAAAAAAAGCGTACAAGATTCGCTTGCTATAACTCAAGCTCGCGAGTGATCTCCTCGCGCACATGGCGAGACCACTTGAGAATGGCAGTTTCAAAATCAATCCAGACCTGTGGAGATGTGTTGTACTGGACTCCGAGCACATCGACTTTCAACATGACCTCGAAGCGCAGTTCGGCAGCTTTGACCCAGTATCGTAAGTTATCAGCGCATCGATAGGGCTTCTGGGTATCGGTATGAAAGCTTCCAATGGCACCAAATCGTCTTCGTGATTTGTGCACAACCGCATTGTGAAGTTTGACCAGTCGCACACCATTCTGCATGGCTTCCAGGAAAGGGGTAGGCTTCGAATCTTCAGGCGACATTGACTTCCATTCTGGTAAAGGTTCAGAAACCGTGTCCATAGACATGAGAAACGCTCGTTCCCGCTCCAGTTCGCGACCAGTCCAGTCGCCCTTGAGCCATGTCCAGCCGACCCGTTCAGCCCGCTCCGCGTCTTCGATCTCCTGTTCCTTTTTCAAGATATCGAAGACACTCTCGACCCAGTCATTCATGGTTTTGATCTCCTCTTGCCTCATGCCTTCTTTGAAATTCCGGGTGGCCATCTGCCTTAATGTTTCCATGACAGCTAACAGGTCTGCCCTGACTTGCTTCTCGGGTTTAATAGAGTCAAGACGGTCAGGCAGTTCGTGCGCTGTGTAGTAGATTTTTGCCGCGCGGATTGCCAGCGTAACAACGTCGAGAATATGCATTCCTTGCAGCTCGAACCAACCTTGTGTGTTTTCCGCCGGCATGTTGGGGTAATCGGTGGCACTGGACGGTGCCTCGTAAGTGCCGGTTCTTCGCGCCTCAACTTCATCCAGTGCCTTCTTGGCGTCGCCAAGCGTTTGCTCGAGTTCTGACTTGAGCTCCAGGATGGTAGGTGGCTTGGGGACCACCTTTTCACGGTGGTGATACGTGCTCACAGTCGGTGGGAGCATATCACCGCCAAGGTCACTGAAGTTGTCCTCATAATAATCATCCAGCTCCTCGATAGGAGACTCAACAAGGTCGGTGCCGAAGCCCTGGGAGCTGAAATCTGGGCTGCTGTCGGTAGAGGCGTATGACGAGTCAAAATCCGAGCCAACGATCTTGGGCAAAGCTTCGGCATTCGTGTCCAAGGAGGAGAGATCCAGGGTGGCGCGCTGCTGTTTCTTCCTGGCCAGTTGACCACCCTTGCCGTCAAGTAAGCCTGTTCGAGCAAAATAGTACTGCAGATGCGCGATGCTGCCCAGGCTCATCACACTCTCGCGGGATCGGGCGCTGGCGGCAAAATCAGTTCCTTGTGGCCGCATATATCCCCGTCGGCGACTCCTGCCGTCAAAGTTATAACTGGAGTGACGAGACATGGCCGAGATATCTGAATGACGATTCTTCAGCGTGCTAGTGTCGAGGCTTCCGGTGGAATGACGGTTGAACTTCTCTATGCCTAGAGCATCCCGAGGGTTGGCATCGTTACTGCCATGCGACCAAGAGGATGTCGTCGACAAGCAGCGAGAGAGCTCTGGGCATGCACCGATAGCTGGTGTTGGAAGAGCGTCCGGAGGCGGGGAGTCGCAGCGAAATGAGGGTGTCTGATCGTTGGTGGTAGCCATCTTGCTATAGATCCTATGCTGGTACCGTGCTAAACAAAAGAGAGTACAGAGTGTGGTAGAGCTTGAACTTGATTTATCGATGCGTAGTAGTACAATAGTTGATCGACCCTCGCAAGATCAACCTTGTGACCTTTGACGGTGACGTTGTGTCTGTCAACAATGATCTGCACTTACACAGATTCACAAACACGAGAGATGAGGTCCCACACGATATCTCGGAGATAGCTTGGCCTAGAAGTTGGGGCTTGATAATGGATCAGCCCGGGAACTGCGACTGGGTTGCGCTGCAGGTGAGGGACAATGATCAAGAGAGTGTGTGTGTAATAGAAAAGGTGAAGATCGAATAAACGCAGTAACCGAGGGGTAGCAAGGACAGAAGACAGGACAGCAAGACAGGACAGGACAAGATGAGACCAGGTAAAGAGGGGGGAGGAATTAGATTAATTAAAAAGTTGATGGCGACAAGACGGGAAGGGGAAATTCAATGGATGAATGATTTCCAGGGGGTTTCCAACGGCGATGGGGCGACCTGATGCCTGGATACAGTCAGTGAGTGGTTGGCGGGACAGGCCCATATGGGCACGGGCAAAGCCAGGGTAAAATTACACATCCAGTTCTCCAATTCTCACGGATACCGACTGGACAGCGAAAGGCCAACGCGTGACAGGGGTGATTAATAAGAGACGATGGAGAAGCTACCTAAGCTGCTGGTCGTAAACAGAGCAAGGATTAAAGAAAGATTTCGTGTTTTCCAGAAGCCGCGTGTCGTCAGGGTTTATCGGTAGAGCAGGAACAGTAGCAGTAGCAGTAGCAGGAGCCGGAGGGAGGTAGAGGGAGAGTCGATAGGTAGGTAAGGACGTTTTCTACCTATTCGTTATTATCGTGATGGCGGTTTGAGATGTACCTAGAGTCGACCAAGGGCTACCAGATATGTATCATGTATGGCTTGGGACAGAAGAGGATTAAGATCGGCATCACAGACGCCAAAGACAGGGAAAGAAGCTGCAATAGACAAGACAGCCCTAGGTACAAATGACAAGACCATCCAGGAAGCCCTTCGAGTAAGAAAGCTCGAATAAGAGGCCGTCGACTGGACACAACTAACCACCCGTTCTCTGAGCTTGGAACAATTGGTACAGTAGCGTTGATCAAACACGACAAATTGCACGGTCAGATGTCAGGGATAAATGAATAGATGGGGTCGGGGGGAGGATCGAATATGGAGCAATAGCATCGGCATCATTAGTACAGCAGCAAAGCTCTTTTTATTAATATCACAATTGTCGATAACCGACAGCACGCCAGTATCGACCATATCCCCGGGCAACCTGCAATTGTACAAGAACGGATCGTGAGCTTGCAGATTCAGAGGGCTAGGCCTCTAGCACAGGCTGTATCGGGCATGCTAAGCTCCTCCAGGCTGATTGGAATTCTTGCTCGTCTGCAATGGGCCCGTTGCTATGGGCATCAGCAGTTACGAGTTTCAGACTTTCATTGGAACTCCATCCCGATGACGACAAGGAGCCGTTTACAAGAAAGCTCCGTGCTCAACAAAGGCCATTGGACCCCGTGAACGTCGAACCTGGGGCTCGGGACGGGCCCGATGGTTAATTCTTCCGTTATTGGGTTCATGCATTTGAAATCCATACCTCAACTATCAGCCAGTTGTTACAGCTCAAGTTTTCCGAAATCTAACCGTAATTGGTGAATGAATCATCATCTAATAAATGGCATATTGCACATGCTCTATTGCAGCGTCTTTCCATAATGACTTCCATGTCTTCTGGCTCCGTACAGCTCAATGTCTGTCAATTCAAAGCTGAATACATGTGGCAACCTGTTCCCAATCAACTAATTGTCCACTTTACAAGCTTCCTAACTTTAATAAGCAACCTTTGGATCGACAACAGAGGTCGATATACGCTAATTCTGACCGGCTGCTGTTAGGCGAGATCATTGACCAGGGATACAGCTCTTCAGACAATTCGCAAGCAAATCAGAAGCAGCTTATGATCCAATCCCGGCAGTTATCCCGGGTCAGTGGGCCTCAATCTAGCATACTACGTAGCATGTAATGTAATATGGATGAATATCGTCCTTTCGTGCGTTCAAGTATTGTACTGTACCTATATGTACAGAGAGACGCGGCTACGAACTGGTGGGTGTAGAATTTAAAAACTCAATTTGTCCTCCTTCCTGCGGGCTTCTTGTCTATTTGCAGAGTGCTGAGAGAAACGACTCCGTGTTCATCTCAGCTTATACCCGTTGCTTTAACGACACCTCACAAACCTTCTTTATGCTGAGGTCTTTGACTTTTAGTGGCTTCCATCTTACCTCGTTTGGCCTTTCTCTTTGGTTATCGTTCTATTGCCGGATTGAGGTTAACTCTTATTCTTCACTCTATTCTTTTCCCATCCAATACCTTAATAAGGTACGTAATTTTTTTTCAATACACACATAGCTCCCATGTTCTTTTCGCCGGCCTTGGCTACTAACCTTGTACCTGCCGAAACCTAGCCTATTCCACGCCTCTGGCCCTTCCATTTACATAGTAGGTAGGTACCTATCCTCATCTAATAAGTCACCACCAATCTTCAC